AACAGGAAAAATACTTCATTCAGCGAAATAAAGGCTGTCTGTTCTCGCGATTTCTTGGTTTTTCTTTCACCGATCAATTTGCAAATGTTGGTGACTGATTTTAGAGTTCAGTTCTCCACGCCGTTACGGAACATTCGTGAACTAATGCATGTTTACTGGTGATGTTTTATTCAAAAAAGAACAAAATTCTCCGCATGGATAAGTTTGAAGACTTGATTCCTGGCACGAAAAACGAAATCTTCGCTCATGTGGTTTAGAGCTGAAAAAAAAACACCGCTTTGTTGAGAAGTACATGAAAATAACGTGATAAATGAAAACAAAGACCGAAACGAGAGTACAAGTTTTTGCCGAAGCGAAACAAGTACAAAACAAGATATTCAACTTTTTCACGGTTCGCAAGCTTTCAGAGGACGCCTCAAGATTTTGCATACGAATAAAAAGCTTTTACTTTTCTTGTTCCAGTTGACCTCACCCTTTTAAAAAAAGGTCAGATATATCAACTACATGTTGTGTGGTATAATAGCCTTTTTAAATTCCCACTGTTTTTCAAACGAAGAGCTTTTGTAACGGTTTCAGCCCAAGCAAGCGATCAAAAAGGCCACCTCAACATGTAGATTTCTGATTTTTTATTTTAAGTTCATCAAAATCTGACAAACAATTCATACGTTTTGAGTCGTCTGTTTCTAACTTGGAGCAAGAAACCGTTCATAAGGATTTCCAAAGAGTACTGAGATGAAACCACAGATATCATGCTTTTTTCCTAAACAAACCGCAGAAAGAAAGGGAAAATCGACTTTCGGTTAGAGATATCTGTCGAATAAGCGCTTAATTTGGGATTAAGATTTCCGCACGGTGGAATATAGGCCTTGATATAGACAGTCCGAAAAGCCAAAGATAGCCCCGATCAATCACCGAGCCCGCTACTCGTGCTGTTAAATAAGACTGCTCTGCACTCAGCAAACAGTCTAATTTCAAGAAAGAAAAACTGAGAGGGTTTATTAATTTTATTAATCTGGAAAGATTTGAGAGACCAAAAAATTACGTAACGTAAACGCGAAATGCGATGAAATCTGCGATCATTGCAATCTACGAAAATTTCTTTATGCATGACTATTCAAGACAGCTTATCTGTAAGAAAGCCTATTTTTCATCTTTTCACTGTGCTTTAATATGCATTTCATTTTAGACATTGCTAGAATTTAAAGTTTAGTAACAAAAACCCTTCTTTCCCATTACTGCCTGAGCATGACCACTACAAATTCAGCTACTTACACTGATCTTGAAACTCATAAAGTTGTTTTATAAAACTTGCAATATTCGATACAAGCAGTGAAATTGTGCGTGGGTTGAAATATCCTTACAAATCTCTGATATGACACCACTGCATACTCGCAGTCTTAATTTCACGGAATGGTTTGTTTAAGGAAACATTGTCATTAATACTTCAGACATGTAGCTACTGGGAATAAACAGCTTAACTGTTGACCCACTTTGCTATAACTACTGACAAAGAGGGAGAAAGTCTGCAAAGTTTTCGCAGGTTTTCGAAATGTTGTTTAGTGGTATGACGACAAAGTGTTGTGGTTGATTACGTTGCCTGATCTTGCTGTATGACGCAAGGAACTTTTGAACCATCGCTAATTCCTTTGTTGGTCTTTAAAATCAAAGCATTTGTACCTTTCAAATTGCATTGCATTAAAAAACGTCTGTAAAGGAATTTAAAGTCGTGTTGAAAGCAAGCAATCAATAGAATATTCTTAACTCGCCAAGACACGGACACAATATAATATTAACATGGTTAAACCGTTTTAATGATTCACCGTTAGATCTTGGTCAAAGAGCAAAGAGGCATCAGTGCTTTTTCTGTGCCCAGAACAGAATAAAAGCGGATTCAAAATACCCCAGACTGTTAAAAAGTCATTTAGAAAGGGTGTTTAATAACTGCCAAGGTTCGCGCTTGAGTGTTCTTTATAAAAGGATTCCGGCCGTTTAATGGACTTTTAATTACCAGTTACTTATGTGAGAACGCACTGGACTGCAACCCGACAGCACGTCCGTCATTTCCTAAGCATTTGAAGTTATCTTTTCTCCTTTCCGATAATATGCAAGAAATTTCATCAGGGTCGGCTCTTTGGGTGGTTTCAAAACTTCACGGTTTTCTCATTTTCCTTGGTGGAAGTTCGGCAACGACAAAACAAAAACATATTCACTAGATGTTTTTCTAGAAGCCATCCCAATTCATATGCAAATCACTTTCAATATAACTGCTGCAAGAAATTGTTCGCTTCAGTAGTTTTGCGAGTTTTTAGTCATTAGTGACGCGTAGGTTGCAGAAAAACATGGAAACTTTAAGTTCTTGCCACGCGCACTTGAAAAGGAGCGCGCGAAATTGTTTTGCTGGCAACTCTCACATGCAACAAGTGTTTCTTGTGGAGAATTCATCAAAATAGCAGGTCTTGTTTGAAAGCGGAAATTTTCTCGTACGAATATATTAAAGTGTGGGAGGAGTTAAGTTCAAAGACCCCGCGAGATTATAAGATTTTGTATTGTTTTCACATAGTTCATAGAAGTGTTTATTACTTCAAGATACTACGCAACGCGCTTGGAATGCCTTTTTTGCCCACAACGTTATTTTCAGTGTCCGAGTCTAAGACTTGTTGACGAAAACTCAAGGATTTTTTACCCTGATTTTTGATCCCCTTTCGCCAAGTTGTTTACACTGCAACCAAGGGCCGATCCATTAGTGGCTTTTGTATTGATCCTTATGTTTGATTTTCGAAACCAATTAAACACCTCACAGTCAGTCGCTGGGATTACTATTTATTAATTCAGGATTATTGATTTCAGTGGTGGTATGTTTGTTCCTTAGCAATCGACTTTCAAACTTTGGAACGCGTGAAAACAATGTTCATAACGAAGCTACAAAATCCATATTGTGTGTTATCAATCGTTTTAGCAATCTGCTCATCTCCTTGAAGTTTTATAGAGCAGGGCCTGCATCTTATTAGGTTGATGTTTTCGTTGGGAAAGTGTTTTTACTACGTTTTTAGGGTTCATTTCCCCGCCCTGTTCACGGTTGACTTAAAACCCTTCGTATTTTGCATTTTCATTATATTGCATTAGACGAACTAATGACAACTAAGTATTGTTTTCGATTCCGCTGTTTGGATAAAATGCCCGATCCTTTCCACCGTACGTGCTTGCCATAGAAAATAAAACGACAAACAGGGGGCTTCCGATCTTGGTCGAATCTTGGGCGTGATGTTTTGTTTGCTGTGTTATTTTGATCAAAAACTTTTGAACGCTTGTTACGCACCAAGTGAAGACAAAGGAATGTTTGTGATATAGAATGCAGTAGCCCCTTTATGAAGTGAGGGCATTTATGACAAACAAATCCGAAAAACGCCACCGAAGGGAAAGTTTTGTTGTTCAAAAAAAGTTGCCCATTTTGTTAATTTCACCAAATATCAATTTAAATTACAGAGGGCATTTAAATTAAAGAATGTTTTCTGACAAGAAAGAAAGAAAGCTTTTAAACCCCTTCATCTTTAAAACATAACTTTAATAATAGCGCATACCTCTAGTGTGTGGGAAACTTAATTTGAATAAAACCAGGAACTTTTGAAGCTACTTGACGCCGCAAAAGAATGTATAAGTTACCCCTGAAAGCTTTCGATGTGGAAAGGAAATATTGCTTTTTTAGTGACGAAACAGGAATACTGAACTATAGAGTGACATAAAGAAACGATTGGCTGCCAACGCCTTATAAGTTTTCATTTTTGCGACTAAGAGTACAAAGTTTATTTTACCAGGGGGCGGGCTTTCGGTTTTCTAAAGGTTTCCATAACGCTAAAAAACAAACAACACAGGATATTTTGATGCAATTTACAGAAAATTATACTCCCCAACAAACGTTATGGAGCAATACAAAAACCAGGTTTTGATATTACTGACGAATATAGAGTCTAGAACGTCTGATAAAACGGCCGATAAAATATTTTTTCCTATGGTTATTTTTAGTTTCCATCAGGGATGAAAAACTCAAGGTTGTCAGTTCTCTAGTAATCTCGTAAAACTAGTTATGTTAATTTGCTCTTTATGCCTTAGAACAATACCAGTAACGATCCCATCCAAATCGGGAAAAAATTCTAAGCTCGTTTCAGAAGTATGCTGGAGCTATTTGAAGAGATTAAGCAGGAAAATAAAGGGATTTGTAGCAAACGTACTTTCTCTATTTTCCAGCTTATTTTTTACCCTCATGAGCTCTTATTGACGTCAAATGATTATGTACGGTTCAGGGAAGGTCAATACTGCAACACGTGTCAGGGAACAAAAATGCAAATTTCTTTCCAGACACTGGGGAATTCAAGTGCAAACCATACGTAAAAACACACTTTTCCTCTTCTAATCACTTCACTGCAAGAAAATCTGTCTTCCCCGCGCACTATTGAAGATTTTTCAGCGAAAAACGTGTTCGCACGTGTGGGGGGAAATTTTCGTGCGCAGATTTCAGAGTGTCGGAATTCAAATCGGCGAACCGTAGCAAAAGCCTTCACTTCCGGTGAAAAAGAAACCCGCTAGGGGTAGCGCCATCGTACTAATATTGACTTGTGCTTTATGTGTCGGAATTTCTCGCTTCGTGGCATCCATTCTTTCTAAATCATCACCAATCAACGTTTTCAAGTAATGTAAGCACTTGGGAGGTTACACTTAAGAAATTTTCCATCTCGAAGGGAAATGTTTTAGATGTCGAATTGTTGTCGCCCTCGATACCCCTGGTGAAATGTCGGGGGAGTTTCATTGTGATAGATCAAGCCTGTGACGTCACCCAACGGAATTCTCCTGTCGAATGAGCATTGAATCCCTGATAATGTACCCGCATGCTAATATCCTTAATGCAAAGGCGAGCAGTTAACGGCAGCATTCGTCAGCATCCGTCAAGGGCAACACAACGTTAGAAATCACATCGTTGGATTTTCTCCAACGACTTCGCTAACGCCATGCCGCGAGCATTCTTGATCAAAGCCAAGAAGGACAAGAAGAAAGAAGAGGAACTGGGAACTCAATTCCCACAAGACAGCGCTCAATTTTCCAACGGAGTTTCAGGTAACTTAATTCAAGCGCATTTGATGTTACGCAAATTTACCGGATTTTACCGATTTCATGGATTCTCCTCTGTTCGATGTCAGGCACGTTTTTTTTCGGGACTTTCGAACTGTCACGGGGTTCGAACTATGTTTCCATGACTTGACTTGTAGCGGTTTTCAAAAGTTTTGCAAACTCCGCGAAATTTTTGTTTCGTTTAGGGACCGCGTTTATGAATCGAGTTTCGAGTGAGGGCACGCACCACTATTCCTCGTTTCAGTTTATTAGGGGTTTAATTCAGTTTTTGTGATACTATGTTCGAATTTTCCGCTGCTTTGCCGGGTTTCATGTGTTGCAGTTTCACTTTCTGAATTTTATCTCGCAAAATAAATTAGCGCGCTTTCCGTCCATTGCTCAGATGTTGAATAGTTAATAAGGCCGCTTAAGCAGTGATATATTCACCATTGTGTAAACTAGATAAACAGCTTCAAAATTGCTCGGATGTGCAAGTAATCTGTGTTACAAATATAAAAGTTGTAAACCTTGCACGCAAATGATGGGTGAATTGAAGTCATCTCTCGCTGGCTATTTAAGCAAACCGCATCACCGTCTCATATTACAATTTTATTTTTGCTCTCACAGATCTCCACTTCCACGGCAACGAAAGTGTTCCCTTAACAGAGTCCGTGGATCAAATTTCAACCCCTGTGGAAACTCAAACGTCGCCCGTCAGTCTTCCTGCTAAGCGAAAACACTCGCAAAGCGCAGCAGACGAGAAACGGGAAATATCTTCCGCCCGAACAGAATCTCCAAACGAAGCCAGTGGACTCGATAAAGAAAATTCGACCCTGGAAATTTCGCACACCTCTGCCAAGCTACAAAGGAAGACACGCAAGCGAAGCCCAAAGAAAACGGCTGTTTATTACTACAACGCTCAGGAAGGCAAAGAACCACACAGAGAAGTCAATAAAGAAAAAACTTCTTTCAAAGACGTTCCGCTTGAAAGACAAGTGCCACCTAACAAGGCAATTTCAACGCTTCAACAAAACAGTCATAATTATGCAGCGGCAGATTCTAAGCGGGTCAAATCTCAGGGGAACCCCAATGGCGGCTATTATTATGATCAAACCGCACACTCCATGAACTGTCAAGAAAAGACCACACGATTTGAATATGAAAAGGGCATTAGACAAGAACACTCCACGCAATATAATTATGCAAAGAGTCATCCAACTTTTCCACGCGAGGAACGCGATGTCGCGCAAAATACGAGTAACGTTGGTCTCGACAACGTTAAGATCGTGGAGGTGCACTCGATCGGCCAAACAATGGAAGCTGCTTATCCTGATAAAAACAGAAATGGCCCAGCGCCTGCACGCCATCCAAGCGAAGATTTTAACCGTCATACTACGGCTAATCATGTGCCAACTTCAACTCCAGCTTCTCAATATGAACCAAGGCCCCAAGAGAAGTCTTCAGTTCCCACTCCTGTTCCAGCCTCTGCAGCGCCAGTTGTTCATTATCTCCCTGTGTATGCAATTCCAAGCTCCAATGGTGTTCAGTATCAGGCCGTCCCTGGAGCTGCTATTCTTGAAAAAGTACCTGGCTCATCAAATCTGTACTCACCAGTGGGAAGAAATGGTGAACCCAAAGCCAAGCCTGAATACCAGCAACAACCTCCTACAGCACCTCAGCAACCACCCCCACAGCCACAGGTTCCTCCAGCCATGCCCCCACAGCCTCAAGTACAGGTGCCACCACATAGTCATGCCCCTGTGTCCCAGCATCAGGCTCCCGTAGCATATCAGCCAAGAATGATTTCCAATCCAAGCACTCACCCTCAGCCACACCCAGCAGCACAGCCATCTTACCCACCACAGCCAAGTAATCCTCCACACGCTGCCCTACCTTACCCTCCACCTGATCCAAGGATTATGCCTTCACAGGCCTACCCACCACAAACAACGGTACAACCAGTATCAGCCCCACCCTATGTTGTCACAAAGTCAGAGCCAGTACCTCAGCAACAGCACTCTCCTGCCGGTCACCCAGTAGTCACTTCTCAGCCGTATCCTGTGCCCGTTCAAGCAGCAGCACCTCCTCCTCCTCCTCCTCCTCAGCAGTATCCGCCCCCAAATCAAGTGGTTGCAGGACAGCCTCCTTATCCAGCTCAGGATCAGAAAATGTCAAGGCCACCCATGTACCCCCCGCATTACCAACCAATACCAAATCAGCACCCCTATCAAATTCATGTTGTGCCTGTAGCAATGCCTTACCCTCCACCTGGCCAACAGGTCTCTGCCAGTCAGCCTGCTCAACCAGTACAAACAGTTCCAGTGCCGTCAGCTCCACATCAGTATTCAAATGAAAGACCACCACCAGTGCCACCCCAGCATTACTATCCACCCCACAGTGGGGGTACAGTCCACTACCAACAGCCTGAGAACAGCCCTCAAGTACCGGTTCATTACTATCCAGCCAGTCAACCTGCAGGAGAAGTGGTACAGCAGCAGTATCCAGAACGCAAGCCTGCTATGTTGCCAGCATTACCTTACCCTGCTGAAAATACCAGCCAGCCACCAACTCCTCAATACAGCCCTGATGGTAAAGACCAACAAAAGTTTGTATATGCAACACCGCCGCCAGATTTCCTGCGTAGCCCTGTGTATAGAGTTCCAGTGACAGAGGCTCCTCCAATGGTCCAAACAAGCCAGCCTCCAGTCCAACAGCCAATTCAGCCTGCAGTGCAACCTATGGCCCAGCCTCTGACCCACCACTCAACCCAGCCACCAAAAGGTGCGAAGAGAAGAAAAACTGCAATGCCACACCGTGAAATTACAGAAGTGGTTCCCTCACCAGAAAGCAGCTATCCACGACACAGCAACAGCGCAGGAGCACATGTGCAGTACACTGAGCAGATTTCCAAGTCTCCTAATCAAAACCCAGCTCTAAACAAATCTAGCTGTGTCATTACTCCCCCTGGTTCACCACAAGATGATGCTAATGGTTCCTACACAGTTGTTATGAGAGATTATGGCGTTCAGGCTGGACCTCCACCAGAACAGGGTACCTGGACTGTCAAAGTTGAATCTGCGGCCCCTCGTGTATACATTTCAGAGGAAGAGGCTCTGGCACATGGTTACAAAAAGAACTTGTCTGATGAAGAGGAGGAGGAGGAGGATGACGAGGAAGATGAAGAGTACTGTGAAGCAGATGGTGAACATCCTTACAGCCCAACTCAGAAAGAAAACCTTTCACCAGGAAATTTTGTTGCGGTTGATGAAAATGGGAACCCCATTCCCAGCAAAGGCAAGAAAAGAAATGCAAAGTATACTTGCAAGTTTTGTGGCAAAGCATTTCAGTGGCATTCCCATCTGAGTTCTCATGAGCGCACCCACACTGGTGAGAAACCATTCAAGTGCCCAGAATGTGCACGTGCATTCACACGTGCTGATGGACTGCAGTGTCATATGCTTGTACACAACAAAAAGAAACCATTCAAGTGTCACTATTGTAACAAAGGATTTAATGACAATACAAGCCTGGAGAAACATACTTACAGTCATACTGGAGTGAAGCCTTTCAAATGCGAATATTGCGGACGTGCATTTAGTGACTCACAGTCTATTGAAAAACATTTGTTAGTTCACACAGGGACAAAACCTTACAAGTGCCAGTTTTGTGTTCGATCATTTAACGACTCTCAAATGTTAGTCAGGCACATTCGTAGCCACACTGGTGAGAAACCATTTAAGTGTCAGCATTGCCAAATGGCGTTCAGTAAGCAAAGCGCGCTTGTTATCCACACTAGGGTTCACACAGGAGAAAAGCCATACCAGTGTTCTCACTGTTCAAAGTGCTTTTCAATTTCTGGTAATTTGCAGCGGCACATTCTTATTCACACCGGGGAGCGCCCATATAAGTGTTCAAAGTGTCCAAAAGCTTTTAACAACCCCAGTCATTTGTCACGCCACATAAGTAAACTCCATGCTCCGCAAGTCAAATCAGATGGGTCTGCTGAGGCTCAACCCAATTTTGCAATACAGGAAAGTAATGCGAGTGACCCTATGCAAGCATAAAAGTTAAATATTTATGTTAACATTAATCCATTTGTTGTAAATTACTAACTTTCCTCAGAAGTAGATGTTCAATATTATTTATTATATAGACGTTGCAGTATTTCATTTTGTGTATGATTATGAAATTTTCCTGCTCAAAATTTGGTAAAATAGATAAATGAGACAAAGTTGATGTTTTCCCTCAAACAGAAAACGAGATGTATATATAAGTCAGTCAGGGAAATGCAATCTAATCCAGTTTCCAAAACAAATAAGTCATTGCACTTTATTTGGTAAGAAATTCAGCAGTTCATATTACATGGTACAAGAGATGATGTAAAATATTTTTCTTACAACTAGACACTAATAGATGGCTAATTCCCGAGGAAAATATTTTTATACAATAATACATACTTGTGTGACATAGTTTTATGGTGGTGAAAATTATTTATTTTTGTGACTGGACATATAAAATTGGTTTTACTGATAGAGTCACTTCACCCAATTCATCATGTAAATACAACATGAGTCACTTAGATAAAGACTGTATAATTTGGTTTTGTTTGTAAATAAAATGTTTCAATGGTGAACGATTCTCCTTTCAATGCTGTCTTAGATTTAAGGTGCTCATTATGTTCCAGGGGTCAATTTAATAAAACTTCTACAAGTATAGCCATTGTTTTAGAGTCTGAAAACAATGGCTACACTTGTAAATTGCACTTGTAAAAGTTTTATCTAATTGATCCCAGGGTTCAATTTAAGAAAACTATTACAAGTGTAGCCTTTGTTCAAGTCTCAAAGCAGTGGCTACACTTGTAACTTGCATTCGTAAAAGTTTTATTGAATTGACCCCAGTCTTGATTGTTACATTAATGGGGGGGGGGGGGGGGGCATAGTTTTTTTGGGGATCCGGGTTTTTTTTTTTTGAAGGGCGGGGGGGAGGGTTTTGGGAGAAAAAAAAGGGGGGGGGGGGGGGGGGGGGGGGGGGGGGTTTGGGAATTAAAAAAACACTGGGAGAGGGGTGTTCAGTTTCAAAAAATTGTGTTTAAAATGAGCTTGGGTGGTATTGGGTTGTGTGTGGGGGGGGGGGGGGGGGGGGGATGATTTTATTTGGGAGGGGGGGTTTTTCTGGGGGGGAGGGGGGGGGGAGGGTTGTGGAGAAAAGAAAGAGGGGGGGGGGGGGTGGAGGGTGAGGTGAGATTTGGGATTATAATAACAACAGGATATGGGATGTACAGTTCAAGAAATATTGTTCTAAAGAACTGAAATATGTAAGAAAAGTGACCAGCATTAAATTTTTCTTGGAGGTTAAGAAAACCCTTTTCAAGTTGACTAAACACAGTTACCCAAGTTTTCCTCCTCCCTGTCACATCTCTTCTTTTAAGTGCAAAATTTTGTTAACCCAACTGAAAGTACACCTGTCTGCCAAATGAGATGCTCTGCCAAAAGTTATTTTATCGATTACATTTTATCTTGATTTTTCGCACTCATTTTGAATCTAATATTCCACATTGCTTTGATGTTCTCAAATACTTGTTATAATAACAATAATAATTGAAATGAAAGTCTTGTTTTACTAAGTACAATAATATTTATATTTTCTTTCTTTTGTGAATAAAAAACAATAAACATGATGCAAAGAAAAGAAAACTAAGAATAAATTTAAAATACAGCATATAAAGGGTGATGAGTAGAAAAATTCCAAGATGCCAAGGCCCTTGTTTAAAAAACTGTGGCAAAATATTGCGGACATTAAGACAAAAAAAGGATCTACAAATTGATGAAGACTCGTCACAACAGCTTCCCAATATTTCAAGATCAGCTTCAAGTTTTTTCTACCATTCCCTACCCCTCATAATATTTATTTTAAAACTTCTGCAAGCACTTGCCAGTTCAATTCCAGTCACTTTCTTTGCACACAACCCTTCTCAGTGAAGAAATTATTGATATGCCATCCTAAAAGGTGGAAAAGGGATGCAAAACAGACAACAATGAGTACATTTTAACTCTTTGTTATGAAAAGCCTTACAAAGTCAAAAGCTCATAAACTTAAGCATTATTGTTTCAAATTCAATTCATTTTTATTGATTTCATCAGACGTAACTTGGTCCATACGTTTCCTTAAAAACTAGAGATTTTGGGAAAAGATCATATCATTTTCCCATGGATGATCATGTTATTAATTTTTATAGCCTTTTCTCTTGATGATGTATTGATATTAACCCTTTAGGTGCCAAGAGTGACAAACATCAATTTTCTCCTAACATTGTCAATATACAATCAAGAGAAAAGGTTGTGAGAATTGATAAAGTAATCACCAAACATAAAAAGCTTTCATTTTTCAAATTCTCCCAACTAATTCAGTGAGGAAATGTATAGAGATCAGTTGGGAGAATTTGTATGCAGATGTTAAGGCTTAAAGGGTTAAGAGAAAATATATGTTGGTCACCCTTTAGACTAAAAGGATTAAAAAAGACACTACAAATGATGATTTGTCCCAAGATTTGTTCGTGATTGTTAGCCTGAGACCAGGTTCCTTAGCAGGGAAAAAGGCAAGTGGTGAATTATAGTGCAAGAAAATCAGCAGGCAAGGCAAGCGGAGTAGGGGAATTATTCTCTCACTCAGTTCTTTGCTTTCTCTTCATTCGCCCTGCAATTTGCCCTTTTCGCCCAGCAAGGAGCTTGCCTGGTCCCAAGCTAGTGATTGTTAGCATCCACCACAGAGAAAACTAAACATCTGGTTAAGTCCATCTGCGAGCCAGCACTGAAATCCTATTCTGGGACACCCCCAGCACAGAGGTCCTTTAGTTACAGAGCAATCACTGCTTGGAATTCTCTTATAAGTGAAGTAGCGAAAAATAGCGCAACACTCTCAGTTTTCAAGCGCGCAGTAAGTTCGTAACAATTTTTAGGATTAGAATTTTTAGAATAGGTTAATTTATTTATTTGAATTTAGTTTTTTATCATGATATTATTGTAATTTTTATAAGTAGTTTTTATTTGATTTCTAATTATTGTAAATTAAATCGGAAGAGCCACTGGTTGGAGATTTAATAAACTTACTTACTTACTTACTTACTCTGGGCCCCAACCTGTGCTTCAGGAGTTTTAGTACATGCCATGATTGGCCTGTTAAAAAAACATGGTTGATTTGCCAATTAGGTTGAAAAGAAATTCAAAATGCAATTCTGGTATTGTTCATCCAGGTGGCAGGCCAGACAAAGATCTCAGCACTGCTTCTCAGATGTTACTAACCAGGGCCAGATTAAGTCATCGAAGCAGGCCAATGACAATTGCTAATAAATTCCTCCTTACACATTATGGTGATTTATGAGTTTCCTNAAGCGCGCAGTAAGTTCGTAACAATTTTTAGGATTAGAATTTTTAGAATAGGTTAATTTATTTATTTGAATTTAGTTTTTTATCATGATATTATTGTAATTTTTATAAGTAGTTTTTATTTGATTTCTAATACTGATTGTAAATTAAATCGGAAGAGCCACTGGTTGGAGATTTAATAAACTTACTTACTTACTTACTTACTCTGGGCCCCAACCTGTGCTTCAGGAGTTTTAGTACATGCCATGATTGGCCTGTTAAAAAAACATGGTTGATTTGCCAATTAGGTTGAAAAGAAATTCAAAATGCAATTCTGGTATTGTTCATCCAGGTGGCAGGCCAGACAAAGATCTCAGCACTGCTTCTCAGATGTTACTAACCAGGGCCAGATTAAGTCATCGAAGCAGGCCAATGACAATTGCTAATAAATTCCTCCTTACACATTATGGTGATTTATGAGTTTCCTATCTTTCACACGTTGCTCATTCTTCCATTTCTGCTGCTCTGAATACTTCCAAGACAAAGGGTCTGACAAAATGTTTTTGCTTTTCTAACTCACTGCGGAGCTTCTTGAGATCTGCAGGAATATTCTCAATCCTTCCAGATAAAATCATTCCCTTTTTGGCTGACAACCCCTCTTCAAATTTCTTGATCTTGACAGGAACTCTTGTGATGATGTGCAAAGCAAAGTACTTCCCTTTTACACTACGCCAGGATTTCAGAAGTACAATTTTAGCGAGCGGAAGTTTTTCTCCGCCAACAAGAGCTGAAGTTGTTATGTTCAAATCGACGATTTGGTTAAACTTGACTTTCAAGGAAACTCGAGGTGTGAAGAACGTCAGAGAATACGGTGAAGGTATTTTGGATTTTTTCAGGCATATATCCTCGCATGCTTGTTGAAGAAATACGGCAGCTGTTATTTTCAAACTGTATTTCGTTCCAATGTTTTCGTTCTTGATTTCTAGGGGAGAGCATAGATATACTTGAAAAGTGGGGAGGAAAAGCACTGCCACCATAACTGGGATCAACAACTTCAAAAAACCTCGTAGAGGTTTGAAGAAATATGCTGCGATCAACGGAATAATCAACGACCCCAAGACAACAAAAACGTTGGAGTGAGTTCCCAAAACGGAGCCAAGATTAGAAATAGCATCACTGCCGACAGCGAAAAGCCACGCCAGCGATGGAAAAACTAGGAGGCAAAGAAAGGCAAGGTTCTTGTAGGAAGACGATGAGTCTTCTTCAGACTTAGATCCGCCATCTTTGCTCTTTGAGTATCTTGGTCTAGTCCTTCTTTCGCTTGGATTTTCGCCTTCTCTTTTCACCATTACTACTTAGAAGAATCGTTGTTGATACCTTGTGTCTTTCTCCCTGACCCTTATGGTTAAATAACAAAATGGACGTTCGATCTCAGAAAGTTTTAGCCATTGCTATAGTACTTTCAGCTGATGATATTGCACACCAAGGGAAGTGTTTGTTCTTGTAACACTCACGTGGCAACAGAACAAAAGATTCTGATAGAAGGGGATGGAGGGGAAACCGAGCCTTTTGTCTATCTTTACCCTACCTCCCCCCAGAAGTGCAAAGTTTTGTCGAGGTAGCGGCTACCAAGTAATCTTCGAAAAAGGCGCGAAGTGCTCGTTTCCAAAATGGCTTCCACAACAGAACGGACAATTTCGGCTTGTAATGGGCTTCAAATTTCCAAGGTTTCCAATAACTGGGCTGAAATAGCTTGGAGTTCTGATTTTTTTGAACCACTAGAGCTTCCAGATTTGCTAGAAAACTGCATAGTGGACCGTAAATATTACATCAACGAGCTGCAAAATTTGTTGTTAATTTCAAGGCAGTGGTCGCGAGGAAGCAGTAGCAGTTCAAATGATGGTGAGCTTTTGCTTTGATTAACTACAAAGTGAGCTGTTGATCGGAGCTTTGCTAGCCTTCTTTTTGGTGAAATATAGAATATATAGGGACAGGCCAGAGATATCAACGGGGCTCTCTGGGCTCTGTTTGAGCAAAAAAGCTTTAAAACCACTTAGAGAGATTCCATGATGTAACCGTTTATCTCGTTTCATTCATTGGAACAAGCAATTCGTGTGGTTAACCCTTTCAACCCCAAGAGTATCCAACATCTTTTTTCTCCTAATAATATCGGTGCATCGTCGAGAGAAAAGGTCATGAGATTTTATAAAATGGTCAGCGAAGGGAAATGCTTTGATCTTCTATCAAATTCTTTCAACTAATTTTTTTAAGTAAGTGTATGCAGACCAGTCTGGACAAATTGTATGTGGATATTGGGCCTGAAAGGGTTGAAATATATAAGCAAGATCTTGGATGTTTACTCTCAAAAATAGCCTGAGAAAACAGCTGGTTTTCCGTGATGCCACCACTGGTTTCCCTGCGAAATGACGTCTTAGAAACGAGCGCTGAAACTACCCAGATCTGGGCAGTGCTTCTGATTGGTCGTGCCGCTTGGAAAATTTGCTTCAACCAAATAGAAGCACAACCCAGTGACACTTAGTCAGTACCATGGAACCTCGATATAACGAACCTCTATGTAACGAAGTCCCTGGTATAATGAACAATTTTCTTTACCCCAGTAATTGTAAAATATATAGAAAAGAACCTTGTTTTAATGAAGCCTCGTTATAGCAAACACATTTTGCCAGTCCCTTGGCCCTTCGTTAAATCGAGGTTCCACCGTATAGAATTTCTGTGCTTGTTTCTCAGACATCGCAAAATGTCGGCTGCATTCTAAGGTTATCTCAAAAACACTGGTCGTGAATGGCCACCGACCTACAAGGTTAAAGGTGGTGCCAGTGAGGTTATAGCCTTTTTAGCCAGGGTGGAGTGACAGTCTTATGTTTTGCAAGACCTAGTATGCATGGTTTGTAAACAAAGCCTGACCCATACTACACATTTTTCTATTATTTTACAAACTACTGTTTAGGATTTTTCTCTAATTGTGAATTTCCACTCTCACCGCCTTGGAGACAGTGACAGACTCAAATTAATAATATTGATTTCATTGCGAACTTGAGGCTGGGATGGAGGGTCATTTGAGTAGTGTCAACATGACAGTGTCAAAATACAGTATATATAATGTTGTAGTTAATTTTTTATCTTTTTATTTTTCTATTGGTTTTNAATTGTGAATTTCCACTCTCACCGCCTTGGAGACAGTGACAGACTCAAATTAATAATATTGATTTCATTGCGAACTTGAGGCTGGGATGGAGGGTCATTTGAGTAGTGTCAACATGACAGTGTCAAAATACAGTATATATAATGTTGTAGTTAATTTTTTATCTTTTTATTTTTCTATTGGTTTTGGGTATGGTAATGTATGCTAAAGAATTTGAAACAAAGGAAAAATAAAAATTAACTGACAGTACTTGAGGCCAATGAGGAAAATTAATTGACTCTGGTATTAAGTTGATGAGTATAAGAATACGTATTATTCTTTTATGATTTATAATTTTTCTTTTTTTTTTTCTTTGATTTCCAGGATTATGGAAAGTTCTTTCAGAAAACAGCTTTTCCCATAAAGTGCTGATTTCATTACTCCACTCTTTCATTGGGTCCTGTAATAAGGTAACAAGATAGTAATAAGTTGAATCCTAGTTATCTCCATGGACTGGCCTGTAGCATATAAAATGAGTTACTTATGTTACTCTTTTCTTACATCTTTCACATGAGCACTTTTAAATGATTTTTTTAAGCTATTAGTTTTTCAGTATAATATGTTTCATGCCTTTCTCCTGATTAGTTTTTTCAACTTGATCAAAAAGCAAATTCTCCAGTCAGACCTCTGGCTGACAGAAGTTGTTAAAACAACAAGGAGGCTTCTTTCAGTGATGATCACTTTGATCAAGCCTTGTTGCATGAAATAAATATGATACTGAGCCTAATGGGAATGAATGGATTTATTTGGAACATTTAAACTGACTGACTTTTAAGTGTGATTTTCAAGGCAGCAACAAATTCTGGATTGGATCAACTCTGCTAGTCACTAAAATAATGAAATAAAATAACAAACATATAGGGATCCATCGGGTTATAGACATTAATCCCATCCACATTTTGTTGGTGGTTGGTTTAGCTCCTTTAAATACATCAGAAAAATGAATGGAGCCTGTCAAGATGAAGACTGGCCAAAAATTCCTAGTATACAGCTGTACAGATGTAGGTGCTACTTTGAGAGTGCCATCTGCACACAGTTCTTTACAAAAATGACTCATTTAAATATAGAAAAAAAAGTTTCACTTCTCTTCAACTGCAACCTTCAGCTACACTGTAAGTGACCATAAAATTGTAGAAAGCTAAAAATGGGATTGAGTTTACATGTATCCGTTGCTGTTCAATTAATTTATGTCTTTATTTTTTTTCTCATAGTCAACAAAGGCTGGACCTAAACTTGAAAGCTGTATATTAGCCTCCAACATTTATATTGTGTTGGTTCAAATCCCTGGTAAGATGGTATACCTGCCAATTAACTCTCACGCATTATTGATTAGTCTCACACCTGCAAACCAAACTTAACACATCAATCTAGCACATGAAGGACAATTTCAATTTAAATAGGCATAAAGTCCTTGCAATGATCGTCATTGTAAAATGTACAATTGTTGTCCCATTTCAGGTAGTGGAGCATACAAGGTATTTCACCCCTTGCTGTTCCAAAAAGCTCTAGATGTGCTGCGATTTTGGCCTCAGAAAGGTAAACATTAATAAAAATAATGTTCTGTAGAGCTGGTAAAAGGGATTCCCAAGGACAGGGATGCTGTAACAAGATTGATGATAAATGAAGTTGGTCAGTTACGCTGTACTACTTAACTGTTGATACATTGTCAGTCTTAGTTTGTGTTTGAAACCATCTCAAATGCCAGTGCCTGTTGTGGTTTTAAATAGGAAGGAATGAAGTTGGAGATATTTTTTCCTAACAACTTCTTGATACAGTGGAAGTTCTGCTTATGGACACGCCCATAAGCAGACAGCTGTACTAATGGCCACCTTCTTAAAACCCCTTTTTTCTCAACTCCCACACAAACTCTGGATTTTTAAATTTCCGTAAGCGCCAGCTCCTATTACGTACACCTTTTTCCGCTCATGAGAGCATCCACTGTACTTGAAACATTTTATTTTCAAGAGATACCTTTCTAAAGTTAGTATTTTTAGTTTAAGAATCAACGATCGCCCTACTTCAAGTAACAATACTTTTTTTGTGTTCTTAATGGTTGCAGAAACCAAAAAGAGGAAAAGAGTTGATGAAGAAGCATCAAGGGGCCGCAGAGCTAAGACTCGAAGGGGGCAAGGAGGTGAGTGTGTATACATCACAATGACAAAATGGAAAAACGTGTGTGTTGGAAAGAAACATTAAGGTAGAGTAAACATTCTCAAGTACCAGTACACCATAAAAGCTCTTCTGCCGGCTCTGTGGACGTGTGTCAAAACACTCATTAGACTAGTTCTTTTCCTTCTGAATGCAAAAACAGAAGGAAACATGCAGGTCATTCCAGTTCCTTTTTCAAGGCTGTAAACAACCCCTGGATGGTGTTAGTTAGGTAACTTGATAAATCATTCAGTAGAGTATTCAATTGAACCTCAGCTAGCAAGTTCAACCAGCTATAATAATTATTATGGCAACCATTGTCAGGAAGTCAGTAGTCATGACAAAATAACCTGGTAGGCACCTGTGATATAATATAATGTTAACACAAACTTGCATACCATTTTCTCAGCCACATAGCTATGGCAAAATACATATTGTATCTGTTATAGGTTAAAATTTAACCTAGGTTGATTCTCTGTTTCGTTTGTCTCCTAGCCCTATTGATTGATTAGCCTAATCAATCATGGATTAGGCTAGGAGACAAAAGAACCGTAGAGTCAACCTTGGTGAAAAAATTTTAACCTGAATTTAATTTTCACCTGTAACATATCCATGGTGCAAACATTCAAAGTTGTCTGTTTCTTACTACTTGATGGCCTGGGTCTGTACCCATTTTTTACCATAGTGTTTGCAAAAAGGCTTAGATCATACATTAGATTTCCATAATATTCATAGTTCGGCCTTTTCATAATTTTTATTTTAATGTAGGTGGAATTGATGACATGGAAACTGAGGATGGTTCTGATGTTGATGATGATGAAAGTGATGATGATGATGAGGATGTTAATGATGTCCATGGTCAGGTTAATACTGAACAAGCCAAGGCTAATGTGAAAAACAAACTTTTGTCACTGATGCAGGTATGCTGAATGGCATAATAATGGCTGTCATTAACTGGGCCATTGGGATTTTGCCTAGCTATTTTAGAAAGTTAGTGAGCTGTGACTGTTTTGGAGGACACACACTACATCAACAACACAGAAAAAGGACAAATCCCCAACTTACATATTCCAGGGCTGGAGAAAACTTGCTTGTCCTTTGGGCAAATAGCTCTCTTATTTTTCTTGCCTGGGGCCACTTCTTGCCTGCCCCATGGACATGGTTTATTAACTGATCCACTTGGTGGCTCTTCCCTGTTAAAGTACATCAATTGCAATTAAAAAAAGAAAAATAAATCAAATCAAGTTATTTACAAATTATGCAATATACAATTAAAAGTAGAAGCAGGATTAACAGAATCGAAATTACAGTAAAAGTTACTAATCACTCTGTACTCTGTTACATAAAAAAATTCCTTGAAAGTCTTAAGAAGGTTCTGTGATCTTAACAGTTTCTATTAGTTTCTGGTAGATTTTTAAATAGCTTTGGTGCATTATCTTGGAAAGTGCCGTTTTCGGTCAGGACCACTTATCTAATATATTGAATTCCTTGAGCACAGTTCCTTACGGCATTCCTGTTTTATTATTTTAAGATAATCTGGCCAAGTCTCAGTGTTATTCAAAGCTTTAACGCATGATTTCAGGAGGTTCAAATCTCTTCTCTCATTGATTGGGAGCCATCCCATTTTAAATGTAACTTATAACTTCTAGTTAAGTCTGTTTGCGAAACAGGGCCAGAATCCTTGTTTTGGGCCTCCACCTGTGTTCCAGGATTTGAGAATGTGGCAAGATTGGGCTGTTTAAAATGCCATTGTTGATCTGCCAATCAGGTTGAAGGGAAAATTGGAATGCATTTCCAGTAATTTGTTGTGTCTGTTGGGAGCCCAGGAGAAGGATATCAGCGCTGCTTCGTAGATGTTACTTAACCAGAAAGAAATGAAAGTCATGTTCCTAAATAATGGGCACAAACAAGTTTCACTTGACATTTCAAACTATAAGCACTAAATGCTTTTGCTTCAATATTAATTTTTTTACAGGATGCAGTAATGCTTGTAAGTGGCTATTCTCTCAAAGATTCCGAGCAGGTTCTCCATCATGTTATACAATTATTTGTGGAGACCACAAGACTTGAAGCATTGCCAGCTGATCAAATGATTCTGAATTTCCCTGGGTGAGTATTTATAGCAGCTGCTCATAAATTAAGCCATAACCTGTTTCATTATAACCTACAACCTATTATACATGTAACCTATATGTACATTTAGATAATTATGTTATGTGATTCAAAATGAATTGTAGATGAAACCAATTCATCAAGGCTGTTTCGTTTCCACCAAAGTGAAAAAACTATGGATTGAACTAGTTTGAAATAGTTCTTATTGATCATGCACTCAATTTACTGCCTGGGTGACAATTTGTATTGAGAAAACAGCTATCACTATTTTTCTTATTTTATGGGAAAGTTAATGTTTTATTATTTTATCCTTAGGGACCAAATATATTCAGTGAAATCAATCACATCATTGGCTTACATTGTAAGTACCTATTGCGGTCTTGCAGTTTTTTGTACTCTGCCGCAACTTTTATAATATTTAAAGTATCATCACCTCTTGTTTTCCCAATGGCATCTTTCCTTAGTTAACCAGTGTAACTCATTCCAAGGCAGGTTTTGAAGACTACTTCCTTTTCTCTCATTTTGTTTGTTTGTTTGTTGTTTTTTTTCAGGGTCTTGATTGTCTTTGTTCTTCGCTTCATGGTGAAGTTGGTGCTAACTCTCGCACTGTAGGTTTACATTTTAGCAAAATAATAAAAGCCAATTAAACCCTCTGTTTTGTAGTTTTGTGAGGAAATTATTTTAAAAATGGTTTTATAAGAAGAATTAACCTTTTCACTTAGACTATGCTATGGAGAGACTATTTTTCACCCTATTTTCTGGAGCTATACCATTTAAGTGAAACTTCTTTTCAGCAGAATCTTGGCATAGTACTACAGGTGTTTCTTTTTTTAGGATTTTACAAAACGAAATCTGATTATATTTTTGGTTAATTTTTCTTGGGCTACTATTAGGAATAAGAGGTTTAATTAAACAACTACAATATGCAAAAGTTAAATAATATTAAGTTACTGCGTATATAGATTCCATTAAATTTAAGATGATAATTATTATTTTACTTTGGGCCGCATCCAGAGTTTAGCAAGAACAATGTGTCATTTGTACTAACACGAAACAAATTGTTGGCAGGTGTTAAAGCACTTGATTTCCAACGTCCTTATGGTGTTTGGAGGTTCAATAGCTAGTAATGGTGTTATAGCAAGGGACATTCAAACTCTCAAGGATCAGGCTGTTCATTTTATCTGGTTAGTACTCTACTGCTTTCAAATAGAAAATTAGGATAATGCAGTTTAGATATTCAATCAAATGTCATTGACTCTAGTTTTTCCTCTTTTGGGTGAGTGCCTTCATCCAAAAAAAGAAATGTGCAACCATACATTACCAGTAAGCTGAGCACATAAACTAATAATTATTATTTATTTTCAGCTACATGACACACAAGGAGAATGACGAGATGTTAAGTGCGGTTCAAGTCCTAGTGCAACACCTATGTACCAAGTGTCCCGAGCGAGCTGAGTACAGGAACATTGTAGCTAAGGTGAGAGAATGTTTTAAGTGGGATGAATTCATTGGAAAAGTTTTCCTTTACTTTGATTCAAACATTTTGTCCTACAGTTTGTGAGTGCAAGGTTCAGTTTTCAATGCTTGCAAAACAAAAATTAATTCTTCTTTGAAACCACTGTAAGCATAACAATAACCTTCGACCAGTTGTGAATGCTTTAAGGAAATACTTAATACTTACATGTGAAGTTTAAGCATGTGGTTGTATAGCCAGATATATTGGCGGTATGCAGTCGCTGATAAGCACATATAGAGTGATAGCTGTGTTGATAAAGAGAAAAAGTTTAAGCAATTAGTAAGCAAAAGTATACTTCACCTTTTAAATTTTTTATGTGTTACTTAAAATTGAATCTGGTGTGAAATTGGCAGGTCTATTTTGCAAAACACCAAATGGCCTCGGAACAGTGAACAAATCTGAATTTCATTGTTATTAGGGTCAGGAAACTGAGTGAATCAAGTTCCAGTCCAGTTTTTGATCAAGCTGTTAAACTGAACTTGATTCACTTATATAGTTTCCTAACCCTAGTCACTAAAACTTCAGAGTCATTTTGCCTTTCGAGTCCTTCAAAATACTTGGCATCACAAGTTTATTTTTAAACTGAGAAACCAAAGGCATTAAATGCATGCTTATCTTGAGAGATTTATTCCTGTCTCAAATTATTTTCTTCTAAAACTTGAAAAAATGTAAAAGGAAAAAAGGCAACAGAATGAAAAAGGTAACCTTTGCATTCAGTGTATTTGTCACTGCATAAAAGTATCAGTACTGAGAGAGGGTTTATTGTTTAATAGAGACCTTGAGATACACCATTTCCGTGTATGGGTAGAGGTAAAATTAATTACCCGTACACGTAGTTGTAAATACAGGTTAATGGCTACACGGTAAAAGGTTGATGTCATTATTACGTCTGGGAAATCATTTCACCTTTTGTATGACGTTGTGGTAAACATGTTAGTTTACTCGTACCTGTAGAGAGAAACGCTGTGTCTTAAGGTCATTAATATCTTCTTATAACAGGCAGTTGTGGACATCATGAAAACTCTTCCAGTCAATGTTTATGCCAGCCTTACAGAGTGGATCAATAAGTATTCCAAGAATGCAAAGGTATCAAAACTGTGTTCAGGGGTTTCAATAAGCACCGACGACCGATGAAATGCGTCTGTTACATTGCTCAGAGAAGTCGGCTACTTTTTCCTCCGAAGAAGAATTAACTAGTTTGAATAATGTCATGGACAAAAATATACTTTGTTCACACGGAAATAACTTTGTATAATTATCATTTGTTCATTGCTTGCAGGAGTTAATTGTGTGGCTAATAAATCAAAAGTTGACTAAAACCCAAATCTCCTTAAATGGAAACCTCCCTCTTTTATACTCAGTTTAGTCCCCTAAATGCTGGAAATCACTTATTAGGGCTTTGCAATTTTAAAATTTTCTGAGGGACCATGCCCCCAGACACCCCTTGAAAACGTGGACTGTTGATACAGTTGGTTACTCTATTCAAATCTGCTGACTACTTCAATTTTTATTGAAAGCCCTGTGAGTTAATGTAGTTTTCCTCTTGAGTTCTCATTTACTTCATAATTTAACTTTTTTTATTTTTGTGTTTAGAATTATTACTATGTACTCCTTAAGCAAGGCAGTGACAAAACTGTTGTAAATTAATTTAATTTTCAGATCAGTTACAGAATTTTTGCCTTGGATGTAGTGTCACTTCTCTTATGTGAACCAGACAGACCTCTTTCAAGTGGTAAGTAATTATAAGAAGAAACATCCCATTTTAAGAAACTCTGCATGGAGTTAAAGATATAATTTACCAAATAATATGAGCTGATACGTACACTTTACATATCCTCTGCATAGTGATAATCTGACAGCAGAAATGAATTGTGTGTGCCCTAGGTTTTAATAATTTTAGTGCTTGGAAGATATAAAGAGTGTACATGTATATGTTGTAATTATTTTTTTTTATCTCTGGTAATTTTTGTGTTTCTTTTATTTTTGAGTATGGTAATGTATGCTAATGAAGTTTGTTTAGTTATCATTTATTTGTTTTTGTTTTTTAGTCACTCACATAACATAAAAATAAAACGTTACATAAGGTGTTAATTGAAATATAAAATGATGTGACAAGGAAGACTAAAGGAGCTGGGAGCTTATATTAATAGGCTTCCTTAAAATGACACCATTAAGTAGTTTCCTGATAAAGATTGTTTTTATGTTTTAAAACAGAGGATCTGCAAGATGATAGGACAAAGAAGCTTCTTAGTAAGAAGTACTTGCTGGATATAGTTGTGGCCAGATCTTCTGATAGAGCACCAACGTAAGCATTACACAGTGGGACCAGTAGGAAAGATACACGTACAGGGCCCTTGCGAGTGTCCACTTAATAGAGGTTCCCCCTTAAAACAGGTTTATTTTACAAAAAATATGGGAAGTAAATTTGGGGACTTAGTAAATGTCATATGTTAATTTTTTTAGGGTGCGTGCAAAAGCTCTTCAGTACTTTGCTCAGTGTGCTACATCAGAAGACAGGTCACTGGTGTTGAAAGTTAAAGAAATGCTTCATGAAGCCTTAGAGAGTCCAGCAGATGGAACACCCACAGTAAACAGACAAACAAGAGGTTGGTCAGACAAACTCTATTTGCCTCATTGTGGCATTTTTGTAGGGACTTCTGTAGCAAAAGGAAAAATAAATGTTGTTGAACACTTTCTCAAAATTAAAGTCTTAATTTCAGAATAAATATCAGTTATTATATAAACCCACAGTGTGTGGTTCAGGTCAAATTATTGTGAGTCTGATGCGGTGACCACTCAGCCAGGCTGCCTCCTGATTTTAGATTGGGAAAAGTACTAAATGGGATACCTCCCTTCTGCACCATGAAGCAGGGGTAAGTGCACTATATATTTGCGTCAGGGAAGGTCATTGGCTTCACAAAACAGTACAAGTAAAACACTCAAACAATGGTCCAGCCCTAATAACAAATGAAAATTAGGCGGGAGAAGGAAACTTGAAACTTATGATGGTACTCATGAGACTTAAATAGCTAACAAGTTAACATTTCTTTTTTTCACTTGTGTTTCCATTATTAGCTCAACAAACTGAGGTGCGGAGCATTGGTTCTATAATTAGACGGCGAACTTGTGATGAGAAAGTTGGTGTTCGAAAAGCTGCACTGCAGGTTAGTCATTTGTCTAGCTTTATGCATCTGCAAGCCAGGGCTGTCAGTAAGAATCACCTGTAACATGTCACATAAAATTTATAGTGTTCAGTTAGCTTTCCCCTTAAATCGCCCATAATATCAAGTGAGCTCAGTAATTACAGGTGTTACAAGTTACACCCCTTAATGAAAGCTGTGCAAGCACAGGACATTTTTTCCCCAGATTTCAAGCCCAGTGAATGAACTTCAGGTAATCAAAATAAAGCAATAGTTTTACTTTTTACTTTTATGCTTCTTCATGTGGTTGTAAGCATCTGCATAATTGAGTTTTCTTGGAACAGTAAAACCTACATGTAGCTCAAGATTCTTAAATCATACTTCTCCTTGATCTTGTAGAGAAATCTGAGGGTCGGTTTAAATCGTGCTCTAATCTGCTCCCTTCCTTTTTTTTCTAAGGCTCTGGAAAGTGTCATTACCCTGAATTTGGATTCTCTGGAAAAAGCGGTAAGTACTTCATTGAAATATCTGTTCTGTAAGTATGCAAGCACTGAAATACTATGTTGCAACCTAGCTCACAACTACAATGCAGAAATTATCCTGGTGCTAACAGCACATCTTTAACAATATCTAGTCCACAGAATGAATGAATAATTAATATTAATTAATAAATTGATACAGTTGAACCTCCACGTGCAAGCACCTCTGTAAGCAAACACCTATCCAAAACAAAAAAAGTCCCTGTCTTGTGACCCTTGTAAGTGACCACACCCACTTTTTGGGTTGACAGTTGTAGAATTTTCCATTGTTTTATATCTTTTTGAAAGGGACTGCTTGTCTCATGCTCAAGTCCTCGTTGTTTGAATGTTGGATAGTGACTGGATAAATAACTGTCGAGCAGACACGTTTTAGGGAAATCAATTAATAGACTATCCAGTGGTGGAGATTTATTCAGGGGATAGTGTTATCCACCTTTCCTTTTTTGCATTTAGGAGTCACTGGGGTCACCTTTCTAGGGATTGCTTTGGAGATTCCCTTGGAAACCTCCCCCCCCCCCCCTACATGCGTACCTCCTCCTGCTTAAACCAAGGGTTTTTTTTTTTTTTTTGATTTATGTTACCTGATACTAATCTTTGTTTCTATACGGGGTTTTTGTCCCTTCATGATCTTGTATTGGTTCAAGCATTTTAAGTCAAACGCGAAGCTTTT